GAAAGCTTATGCTCCCAATACTTCTGTTAGTCTCAAAGGTGCCACAGGACCCCTTTTTATTCATGATATTAGACACACGCAGCAGAATCTACTTAATTGGATCCTCTACCTTTTTTTGTTCTATAGATCACTTTGTAAACATGAGCCTCTTGTAGACCCAGCTCCCCAGTAGCCTTTATTCTCTGCTTTATTCTCAAAATGCTTCATACTCCAGACCACCAGGGAGGATCCAGAGACCATTCATGGCCAGTCCCCAGCTGGAGATCTGCATGTCTGTCATTTTGATTAAACAGTTGTCGCAATTAAGAGAAGAGGCCCTTTTAAATGTAAAAAAAAAGTCTAGAAAAACTAAATGAAAATATTGTAATTGAATTAAAATTATACTCATAATATTTATTCCATATTTCTTCTTTTACTAGTTGAGTGATTTTTGTATTAAAAAAGCAAAACTCAGAACTCCACATCTTTTTAGTATGAGGTTAAACATCACTTAACTGGTTGGCACTAGCTTAAGGGGATTGAATTTCATTGCCCCTCCTCTGCATAGATTTTTACTAATCCTGTCCCAGTTAAAAGCAGCAGTTATTATTATTCTTTATTGCTAGCCTATCTGCTCCCGTGGATACATCTCTGTAAAGCATCCATCTCAGCTGAATAAATAAATATATAAGAAAAACAGTTTCATGTTTTTACTGTGCAAGGGAAAAAAACAGAATTAATCGTAATTCTTCATTCTTACTTTATAGACCCTGGGAAGAAGCCATGGGAAAGAAGCAATTCTGTTGAAAAGCCTGTATCTTCATTACTCTCTAGGTGAGCTGCACAGGTTACTCTCTAGAATAGTGGCACAGTCTGGACTATAAGCATGCTATCTACATAACGTGTGTTCAATTCATGTCTTATTTCATTCCATTGCCATAGAAATCCATCAGTGAAGAGTCTTGAAGCTAAGAGCCCCACACAATCCCAACTACCTTCTAGGTACTGAAAAATGATCTGGCTTCTTAACTGTCTCAGCTTGTCCTTTGGGAAATCATGTCATTGTTGGTGCAGCAACTAATATTCATTTGTCCTTGTCATGACTGTCCTCAGCCTGTTGTGATTTGCTCGTCTGCTGCTTTACTAACTCCTAGCCAGAGGCTGGTCTCAATTGGGCGGAGTGGTTGTGAATTTGCCATGCCTGATATCAAAGAAAGTTTGGCTCAGGGAGTGAGTGGTAGTGCCATGAACTGCCATATGATTTCTATCCCTGAGCCCTCATTCAAGTAAGCATATGCTTAAGTATCACTGAAGTCAATGGGACTTAAGCACATGCTTCAGATTAAGTGATGCTTATGTGCTTTCCTAAATTGGGGCCCTGTCTCTTGTTTCCTGGGTGAATGGGGAGTATTCTGTGCCACAGGGAAGACAAGGGCCTGCCTGGTGGATCTATTTGCCACCTAGCAGCCAGAAGAACCCTCCTCAACAGATCTTGCAGGGTGATCTTTCCTAACAGGAGACACTTTCATTGCCCAGCATCTGAGAACACTCAAAAGCAGAATCCGTCTGGGGGTCTGCACCCAGGAAAGGAGAAATTATTTTTGCATGCAGTAAGGAACATGTGCAGTGAGGAGTGGGGAAGGGAAAATGAAGCTGACTGCAGCATAGGAGCCACCAGAGAGGGCACCCAGGAAAGAGGAGACAGGATGCGTCTGGTTTTGTAGGCGGGAGAGTCAAAGGGAGGAGTCCAACAAAGCTCATCCGTCCAAATGGCCAAATTACAGGCATGATACGTTGATCCCAGGTATTGAAAGGTTAAAGTGTGACATTGGAAAGCTAGAAAGAGGTTTTCTGCCAGTCCTTGGCCAGTACCACAATGCGGCTATCGTATAGAGCTCTGAGCGTTGTTGGGATAAGTTAGGGGTTGGAGGTGGGACATAGATGCTTTAAATTATTCATTTCAGTAACAAACACTTTCCCTTATTTGACTGTTATTTTGTGCTACAGTGTTGTTAACACATAGAAAAATAAGTGACTGATGGCAGATGTCTGTGGGTATTGTGTGAAAGACCAGGGTCAAATCCTGCCCCACATTTCATTGACTTCAGTGGGGTTGCACAGGTGTAACTAAAGGCAAAATTTGGCTGCCTGGATCTATCCCAGATCCACCATACAATGTCAGCCATTAAAGATGTACCAGTTTTCATTTGATACAGATGATCCTAGTATTCCCTGTCCTTGCAAATGCTGAGCTGAAGCTAGTTACCAAGTTCTCACGCGGTGACTGCTGTAAGACCACTGCTGTTTGGAGGATGTTCTGTGGGAAGTGCATTCACGTTCTGTTCCAGTTCTAGCACAAGAAACTACTCTGCTTGTTCTCTCACTCATACACTTTGTGGGTGGGATTTTCAAAAGCACTCCCTGTTGGCCCAGCTCTGCTCCAGCAGAGTCAGTGGGCATTTGACCACAACCAGAGTTAGACCACCACTGTGTCCCTTCAGAAAACCCCGTTCATAATCTTGCTCATAGCTCATTTGAGCAGCATAAGGATCAGAATTTAGGAAACACAAAGGACTTGGTTGTGCAGCTTTTTCTTGGGCTAAAGGCCCACTGGAATCAATGCAAGACTTGCCTAAGAAAGAACTTGTACATAAAGATGATAGCAGAGCCAAGGCTGAAATGTTCTCCTTAGGCATAGGCCACTTGATCTTTTTCTAAAACACTTCATGAAGAGTCACCAATTTCAAAAAAGGGTTCATAACCTCTACTGGCTATTTTAACAAAGCAAGCCTCTCTAATGGTCAGCACTCTCAATAATGACAGGTTTCAGAGTAGCAGCCGTGTTAGTCTGTATCCGCAAAAAGAACAGGAGTACTTGTGGCACCTTAGAGACTAACAAATTTATTAGAGCATAAGCTTTTGTGGACTACAGCCCACATCCGAAGAAGTGGGCTGTAGTCCATGAAAGCTTATGCTCTAATAAATGTGTTAGTCTCTAAGGTGCTACAAGTACTCCTGTTCTTTTTACTCTCAATAATGTCCACTGTGGTGCCCTTGGCAATAGAAAAGAGACAGGAATCAGGTGTAGTTACACAAACCTGAAGTCTTTGGGAGGCTGGGCCAAGAAACACAGCTTGTGCTGCACAGCCTTACCACTCAGCCTGCCTAAGGCAGGACTTAGCAATGGGATGGATTGCTGACTACCTTCACTAACACGGTTAGGTTAAGCAAACATCATTTTTTTGGTTTTACCATTATTTTAACAGCTCACTAAATCCTGAGCAGTCAAAGCAGTGTTTATTTTATAGGAAATGCAAGTGTGGAGGAGAGACTTAATTTTCAAATGTTGGAGTCAGACATTGATCATGCAAACCTCCAGCACTGCTACACTAACTACACAGTGTTGTTGTGGCCATGTTGGTCCCAGGCTGTTAGAGAGAGAAGGTGGGTGAGGTAATATCTTTTATTGGACCAACTTCTGTTAGTGAGAGAGGCAAGCTTTTGAGCTACACAGAGCTCTTCTTCAGGTCTGGGCACTGAGAACGTTTCTCAGATCTGAAGAACAGCTCTGTGTAAGCTCAAAAGCCTGTCTCTCTCTCTCCCACAGAAGTTGTTCCAATAAAAAAAATATTACCTCACCCGCCTTGTCACTGTAAATAATTAACAGCTATGAGGACTGCACCCTAAAGTAGCCACAGAACTATCTAGAACTTAATATTATTGATCAGAACTCTTTGGATAAAGTGTTACATTTTAATTCACTCTTCAGCCTCTCCACTGCATTTTAAGATTAGAAAACAAGCTCTTTTGATGGATGGTAGTGATCAGCTGCAGTCTGCTGTCGCAGTATAGTGCTGCTTGCTTCACAAGATACGCTGGCTGCAAAATACTCCTGAATGGCACAAGAGGGAGTAATGGAACTTTACAAAAGTTAACCTACTCAAGAGCTGTGTGTTGGGATTTCATCTAGGTCAGGGGTTCTCAACCTTTTTCTTTCTGAGATTCCCACCCCACCCCCCAACATGCTATAAAAACTCCAGGGCCCAGTGGCAGGAGGGGGCATGGGGCTCTGGAATTCAGCCACCAGGTGGGGGGTGGGGAGGCTGGGGCTTCAGCTGTGGGGCCGGGGGGCGTCAGGGCTCCAGGCTTGGGGCTTCTGCCCTGTGTGGGCATCGGGGCTCAGGGCTTTAGACTATGGGGAGCACCGGGGTTCTCGCAACTTCAGCCCCATAGCTCTGATTCCAGGTTCAGACCCACAGGGGGTTCTGGGTTCAGCCCTGTGGCTCTGTTCCCAGCTTCAGCCCCGTGAGCAGCGCTGGGGCTCAGGGCTTTAGCCCTGGGGGGAGCGCCAGGGCTCGGGGCTACCGGTGGCTCCACTAACGGTGACTCCACTCCCGGCTTCAGCCCCGAAGGGGACACCAAGGCTCGGGGCTTCAGCCCCAGAGCTCAGTTCCCGGCTTCAGCCTTGCGGGGGCACTGGGCTTCAGCCCAACTGGGGCTGGAGACACCCAGCTTCACCCCCATGATTTCATTCCTGGTTACAGACCCCTAGGGGGCACTGGGGTTCAGGGCCCCCTGTGGTTCTGCTCCTGGTTTCAGCCCCACACTTCAGCTGCAGGGCCCCCAACCCCCTGAAACCAGCTCGAGGCCCCCCCAAGGGGCTGCGGACCCCTGGTTGAGAACTGCTGATCTAGGTGTTGTGCAGCCAGTGACTATTAACATACTTTAATCATAATGACAGTAGCAAACACCACATGGCTTAGTAAACATTGCTGAGAATTGATTTGCTCTTTTATCCTTTGTTTCCGTTTCTCAAGGATGAAGCCCGTGAGCAGCAGCAATGATGTGGCTATGGATGCCTTAGATTTTGATCGAATGAAACAAGTGAGTGAGTGGGTTTTTTGAGCGTAGGGAATTTGATATGGGTAGCTGTCTTTCCCCTTTGTGTTTGTCATACATGAAGGATCAAACTTAGGGCTAAATGAAGGGCAACTGTTCGGGCTAAATGAAGATAGAAACATCACTTTTTGCCTTTCTGTTTGCCCAAACTTACAACGCTCCTAGTATGGAGTAGATCAGAGTAGATCATAGTGATTCCTTGAAGCTCAGAGGGAAACAGTCCCATTGTTATTGGATCAAAATGCAATGCCACCCCCTCTTCCCTGGTACATCAGCAGGTACAGAACTCAAGCCCTTTGGTAGTCAGAACACAGGTCCAGAACATAGAACCACTGGTCCTAAAGGAGTAAAGTTATTTAGCTGGCAGAAGTAGTGAGTTTTTATCATCTATATGGGCCAGCCCGTAATGGAGGCCATGGAATTCTGAACACACATCTTTTGTTTTGTCTCATCAGGAAATATTGGAGGAAGTTGTAAGAGAGTTACACAAAGTGAAAGAAGAGATAATTGATGGTAAGAAATAAAAAATAATGGATTTTGATAAGTTTGATCCTGAGAGATTTCACTCAGATTCAACACATAAGAAAATAAAAGCTGCGAGTTCCTCAGAAAGTAGTTTTACAGCTACTTTCCAAGAAGCTCTTTGTTAAATATGTATTAGTTATCTGTAGATATGAAATAGATGTGACACGTATGGATGACTATTGCTCAGAAGCTGGAGTGGAACCACAAGAGACAGCAGTATCTACCCATACTGAGTTTTGATCACTCAGTTGCATTTTTACATGCCTTGCTTGTGTGTGCTCTGTTTTGAAGCTTGAACACAAGGCATTCAGTCTGAATCTTTTCAGCAGTTTTGCTTTGCCTTTGGGGCTGGCATAGCTTTTACCTGACATCCTGATATCAAAGTCAACTGTGTGTGTACATCAAAGCTTCATGTAAGGGATTTTTACCAGCAATACAAAGCTTGCACTCTTTCATGCTCAAAGCTCACTCAGCACTGGTTTAAATGCAGACCAGAAAGAAGGACGTTCTGCTGTCCTTGGTCTTTCAGTTACTCTGCTATGCTATGAATTCTCACCTGTGGTAAATACAATAGGGTTTTAAATCCTCACGTAGAACAAAACTGAGTTTCTCCACATGTGTGTGGCTTTGTTCATTCAGTAAATTTTGCCCTACCTTAAACAAACTGACTAGATTCCGATCCTGGCTGCTGTTCTAGCAGAAAAAACACCCATAACCTAGTACTGTTCCAAGACCAAAGGAAATTGTTTATACAGCAATAAAAACACTCCATTACACAATTGCTGGGGTCATTGAACTTGTTGCTAAGGCAACTGAAAAGAAGCAAGAAGAAATCTTGTTTTAGTATTTACAACTCCATCCCCTAATTTGCTGTATGAGTATTATTAATTATAAGTGGTACCATATCAGAACATTAGTGTATCAGGGTGATGGTTCTGAGAAATCCCCACACTGGGAGCCAAAAACCCCTTCCCAACAGCTGCAATGATCATAATCTAAATCTCAGAAGATTTGTCTCATAAACTTGGTTTTTTAACCATATTCTAGCAAAATACAGTTTTCTAGAATGATTTTGAAACTACATAAAAAGAATATGAATTTCTATAGAGTGCGACTGTCAATAGGAAGTGTAAGATTTTTTTCCATGCACATCAGCACTAGCATAGAATGAACTGTGTGGTCCACTTGTTAGGTAGAGGAAAGGGAATCAGAATTCTTTGGCTCTGATCCCACCTGGCTGTATGACCTATGCTACAATACTTGACCTGTACGTATGTACACACAAGGGAAGTGTGAGGCTTAACTTATAAAGCATTAAACAGTATTATAGAAATGTGACCCTTATCATAGAATATCAGGGTTGGAAGGGACCTCAGGAGGTCATCTAGTCCAACCCCCTGCTCAAAGCAGGACCAATCCCCAGACAGATTTTTTGACCCAGATCCGTAAATGGCCCCCTCAAGGATTGAACTCTCAACTCTGGGTTTAGCAGGCCAATGCTCAAACCACTGAGCTATCCCTCCCCCTCAATATAATGTATTGTTAAAAGGCATTGAAAAAATTGATACTATTTGACTAAGATTTGCGGTTCGGAGCAACATAAATGGTGGTGTAAGGCAGCCTAATTGTGGTGCCATTGAAATCAGTGGGAGGTTTGCCTTTGATTTCAATGGTGGCAGGAGCAGACACAAGGAGTGCAATTTGGGAGGCCCCAGGGGAAAATTTTAACAGGAAAAGCAACTATTAGGCATGTGCCAGAAGGTACAAAATAGAACAGCCCTTTCACCCCTCTAACCTTCCACACTCACTTTCTTACTGCGTCCTCTTGTTTTTCCCCAGCTGCAATCCCACCCTTCTGCCCCCTTTGCTATGCAAGTTACTCGCATCCTCTTACCAGTGTATAACTTACACTACATCTGCCTTTGGCTCTGAGTATTTACCGCCTGTCACTGGGAGTAGTTGTCTGAATTAACCTTTTGGTTTGGTTTTCCAGCCATAAGGCAGGAGTTGAGTAGAATCAGTACAACATAATGACTGCACAGCATCTGCGAGGTACTAAGGATGCTAGGAAGATCGGATCATTTCTAAGTGTACCAAGGTCATGCAAGATGGTGAAAGAGGACACCTGCACTGTCTTTGTTCTTAAACCCTTTTTATTAGCAGACTGAGCACACTTTGAAGCTTGCTGCTGCCTTGGATTTGCTTCATTTTAAAAGTCTTAATCGAAAGAAAATATTAAATTTTAAATTTCTGGATTTTTTAGATTTCATCTGACACAGCACATCAGATTTGTCAGCCTTTTTTGTATTTTGTATTTGCTTATTTAAATGTATTATGTTTCTTTTTAGTAGTAGGTAAGAAAACATGTGAACCATTTGCTTTTAATAGATGACTTCAAAGTAATTTTACTGGTAGTCTGCAATGTAAATGAAGACCCTTTGCCAACAGAAATGTATTGTGGCATCACCAGAAGAAACAGAGACATGTTAGTTGTCAGCCGCCAAGGTCTTTGACTCAGAGTTATCACAATATTAAAACGGTACGTCAGTGCACCACAGTATCTGTGTTCATATTGGTAATAAACTGTTTATTGTCCATATGGCCCTGCTTTTGGTTTTGTTCATTAGTTGCTCTAGCTTTGCACTTTAATTTCACTGTGTTGCTGTGGTGTGTTTTCTTGCTGGTTTTGGAGGCTCTGCTGAGAACACAAGAGCAAGGCTGCCTGCATGTTGTGAAATCTCATGTAACATTCATTTTTAATCAAACAAGCAGGAGAGTCCTGTCAATGTAGCATTAACCTGCACATCAGAATCTGGCCAAGCAGGCAACTCATTACCTACTCCCCTTTCCCTGACCACTCTTAGCAGTGCAATGCCAGCTGTGCAGCAGCTCCAGGTGGGGAACAGCTGGCTGCTAGCCCCATCTTCCTGCAGCAGTTGAGGCACAGGGTCTTACCTCTGCCCGCCATCTGTGTTGACCAGGGCCAGACTGCAAACAGGCTACTAGAATCTGGAAATACTGCAGCCCAGAGTCTCACAGCCCTGCAAGCTCATATTGTCATCAGTAACATTTACTGACCAGTAGTTGGTCCCAGTGTCCCACTGCTCCACTGAGACCACCACTAACCCCTCCACCCTCTCACTCGTTCCCTTCCTGCCTCCCTCCTCCTCCCCTACAAAAACCCCAACCCCATTCCCTGACTTTTAATTTGTAAAGAGTTTGTTGTTTTGTTTTTAAGAAGGCTGCAGCCTACTCAGAGCAAGGGTGGATGACAGAGTTAATAACTTCAGCCCCGCTGCTGCAGCTTTACTGATGTTCTAAAAATTTCCCATGGTTGCTCACATGCCCCTACTACAGGCAAAGCCTAGGGGCTGCCTTTAGACAACATTTCAATTGAAATTGGGCATTTCAACCTCTGCGTCGTCACACCGCAGTCCTGGAGGCAACGTTGGTACCCGATACTTGACCTTTATTTTCTGTAGTCCAACAGTGCCTGACCGCTCAGCTCTTACTACTTGTGCAATAAGTAGGGGCCATTCTTTCAGCCCAGTATAGGCTTGAGAATTTCTGCTAACTTAGGTCTGTTTAAGATTTACAATCCTTGTTCTATCCTCCTGCCCTTGATCATTTTGAATGGCATGAGAGAAATCAAACAGTTTGAGCTCACTTCTTATTAAAACTGTCATTTTCCATCCACAGCTGCTACTGAAGCAGTAGCTCCTGCAGTCAGCTTTTTAAAAGCCCAGATTTCTTGAATTGTGCAAACTTTTTATTTCTTGAGTGAAGTCAAATCAGCTGGTCCCCAAGCTGAAGAGCATGTCGTATTTTATTTAGTCTTCTGGCCTCTCTTTGAGCAGTGCTAAATTAACAGAAAAAGCAGCATCGAGGCAAGTAATGAGGTAGCAGCTGGTACAACAGAGGAAGGATGGTTTGATTAATAGTAATCAAAGATGGCCAAGAAATTAGGAGAGGGTAAGGGTGCCTTGTAATGTTAGAAGTTTGCTTAATAGCACTCCAGTTTATTAATCTTCCACAAGTCTCTCAGGCAGGGTTAAGAAATCTGCCAGGCTAGTTTATACCGTAAATTGAAAACAGCACGACAGAGTGAAGCAGAATGGAGGGAGGGCTATGTTTAGAAATAGCAGAAGTTTAGACATTTATGTACAGTTTGTTTTTCTGTACAAATGAAATGATTCACAGATGTTTTATAGTAAGGTAACATTGTAGAAGAGTGTTTCGTCTTGAGCTAGTCTGTTAAGTGAAATTAAAACAGTTCAGCACATAGTGCAGTTGTCCTGTAAGATGTTAAATGTTAATTCAAGGGGTACGTCTTCACTACCCGCCGTATCGGCGGGAAGCAATCGATTTATCTGGGATCGATATATCGCGTCTTGTTAAGATGCGATATATCGATCCCCGAATGTGCTCACCGTCGACTCCGGAACTCCACCAGAGCGAGCGGCGGTAGCGCAGTCGGCGGGGGAGCCACGGCCATCGATCCCGTGCCATCTGGACCCCAGGTAATTCGATCCAAGATACTTCGACTTCAGCTTCGCTATTCGCGTAGCTGAAGTTGCGTATCTTGGATCAATCCCCTCCCCCCCCACCCAGTGTAGACCAGCCCATAGTATTAGAAATCCTGTTTCTCAGCTTGCACATCCAAGAGAATAGGAGCTTATGGCTTTTCCCTGAGTGCATTAGCCCCAGAAAGGCTGTGGCTGATCTCCTCTTGGAATATGGTTCTATATGTATTGAATCATGCTTACAAACATTACAGGCAGGAGGTTGGCCCTGCAGCGCTAATGACAGCGAAAGCTGAATGAGCTGGGTTTTATTCTGACTCACATGTTCAGCAGCATCAGGACTGATGTCTCAAGGGGAGTGTGCTTGGCAAACTGAAAAGAAATCTCTCCACTACAGTGAGTAAGTTGATCTGACGTAGATGAGAATAGGAAATGAAGTTCCATCTTCATTTGTACAGTCACTGTCCAAAGCTCAACTTCACTGGATGTGACAAACCATACCATTGTGTTTGCACATGGTAATAAGATTCCTGGGGGGTTTCCACCTACTGCATTTTGGGTCTATCCCTGCCTTCCCAAACCCATATGATGTGGCAGCAATATTGCAGCAGCTGTTGACCCAGTTGTAATCTGCTCAGAAACCAAGATGTAGCTCAGAGATGACTGTACTTGAAGTAGCATGTATAATACAGCCCTAGCCCTCATCCATCCAAGGAAGTAAGGGGTTGAGTTTTTGCTCTTGAATCCTGGCTGCCTCCTGCTTGCATTGACCTATTAAGGCAAGCCAACCACCTGTTGAAGTGTGTGTCTCCATTCCTCCAAAGATTAGAAGCATTCTGCACCACAGAACAGTCTAAACTGAATCTCGTGCCACACATGCATGGTCCTGATGAAAAGGGGGGAAAATGTTTAATGTGGATTTAAAATGTAACAGTTTCACCCAGATACAAAGGATGGTGCATCTATGTAGCCTCTGCTATAAACATACATGTGTGATATCCTGCCAAAGAGCAATGTTACATAAGCAAAAATCCTTTTAATAAAATTTACAGTATTCTAAAACAGTGCCTGTGGTTTCCTTCAATATTTCATCACCTTTGGTACTACAGAAAAGGTAAGTGCATAGAAATATTACGTCAGATCATTTATAGCTCTGAAAACTCAAGTTCATGAAAATTGGATTTTTTTTTAAACATTATTAATGAAGATGCTAAAGCAAATCTATTGGTTTTCTGTTGCTAGTTTACATATTCTCTTAATCCGTGAGTAAGGACCAATGCTGTCATCAAAAACAAAATCCCAGAGAACTCGAACCCAAGATTGGTGCTGCGGAAGGTTGTCATAATATTCTGCTGCTATCTTCTTCACCTGAAAAGAACAAGAGACCATTTAACCAGCATTGCATTGTCAGAGGTTCTTCTCTATCTAGCTGAGATTGTATCTTGCCCAATGTAACTTTTAAGATCCACACCAATAAGTCTTTCAATGAAAAGCATCCCATGTCACAATCTGCTCTATGACTATGAATGATGTAGCATTTTTGACAACTATTTCTAGTGGAAAGAAACGTTGAACTAGCATTCCACATTTTCCTCTGAGTATTTTTGCACACAATGTTTAGTAGTCCACTTTGTATGACAAATACTCCAGCTACAGCCTTGCTTGCACTAGAAATAAAAAATATTACAGAAACCAGTCTTTTTAGCTGTAGCATCTAAATTCTGTTCCACTTTGTTTCCCCATTTAATAGTTGCTGTTAACTTAGTCTCAAACTAATCTGGCAGCCCGTTACATTTTCCTGTAGACACAGGCCTGATAAAGAATTCAGGGATGTTCTGGTTCTAGAACTTTGGTTTAAAAAAAACAAAAACAAAAAAAAAAACTAATGATCTGTATCTAGAGCCATTTGGAAACTTCATAATGGGCGTCTATCTCCAATGGACTGAACCAACCCCTTTAGTCCTAACACGCCCTCAGAATTTGAAGAAAAAAAATGGGTCTGATTCTGATCTTTGTATTTTAGTTCCACAGGACTGGATTTCAGCAGTGTTTTATGAGGAGGGAAGGGATACATGAATTAGTCTGATTCAGCATGAGAACAAGGCCTTGTTATGAGCTATCAGGACTCCACCACAGCATAATTCACTCATTTTGTGCCACCCACTTTTGTTCCTGAACCCTTAAACATGTTCAGGTGTCACAATTCAGTGAAAGATCAAACCAGTTCAGAAGACTCTGAGTGCTGCTTGGCCACAGTTCTGTTTCTCCCTGTGTGCCATTACTAGCTGGTATTTTAGCTGCACACCTGATCTCAGACTGACAGAAATTCACCTTGCCTGCTCTCAGAAGTGCTCTTGCTACTGCTGTAGGTATGTGCACCCTTCCCATCAGGGCTGGCTCCAGGCACCAGCTGAGCAAGCTGGTGCTTGGGGCGGCAGATTGAACGAGGCGGCATTCCGCCCAATACTAGGGCGGCACGGCCGCTTTTTTTGTTTTGTTTTTGTTTTGTTCTGCTCCGGCCGCCCTGTAGGGGGCAGCAGGGTGGCGGATGGGAGCACCCTGCAGCAAGCTCCGCAGGACAGCCTGCGTCCTTCCCTCCACACCGACCAGAGTGGAGCCCTCCCGGCAGGCGGTGCGCAGCATGGCGGGAGGGGCCGCGTGGCCGCCCCCCTTCTCTCTCTCTCTCCTGCTCGCTCCCTCCCCCCAGCTAGCCGGTCCCCCTGCACCTGCGCACAGATCACTGTTGTTGTTTTTTTGCTTTGCCGTTCTGGCTCCCCCCCCTTTTTTTTTTCCTGCTTGGGGCAGTCAAAAAAGCCAGAGCCGGTGTATCAGCACAACCGGCCCTGCTTCCCATATAGCTGAGTTTTCATTTGGGGGCTGTAAACATTAACTCAAGTGACAATATCCGAGCAAGTTTTTTTTAAACCATTTTAAAGATTTTTATTGGGACAAGATGACATCTGAAGTGTAGCTTTGGCAGGGAGTTGGTTTTGCAGGCAGTAAGGACAGCATGAAAAGGAAGAGATTTCAAGAACTCATGGAAGTGGGAGGCTATAGCAACTTTAGCACGAGCAATAGAGTGGTGATACAGTTGTTATTACTGATAAACAGCTCAGCAGTCTGCCTCTGCACGTACTTGAGCGTAGCAACACGAGAATCAGTGGCGCTGCTGTACATTTGCACAAACCTGCCAAGATTATTCTTACCTAGGCAGATTTTTTTTTTAATTGAACTCAGCCCTTTAGACAAACCAAAAGCCATAGTGTCCCAGGCAAAGTAGCAGAGCTGAAACCAGATTTCCTTCCAGAACATTATTTAGCCAGTATTTAAAAGCCAGCGAGGTTGTTGAATGCAATAAAAATTCCACCCTTTAAACTTGGACTTTTATGAGCCATTCTTCCCATGGAGCCATTTATATGCAAGTTTTTGACCTTCAGTGAAAGAGTTTAAGAAACTCAGATAAAGTTAAAGTGTAAACCAGTGTTAGTCACACTGTAAATTCATTTACCTGTTTTTATACGTCTCCTTTAGCATGAATTGTGTAATACATTCCCAACACGCAAGAAAAGAGGAAGTTACTATGTTAATAAGGACATGGATGAACAGAGCTATATAAATGCAAGGGCTGAAAGCAATCCACAAGCCTTACAAACAATACACACACCACCAGGAGATAGGGTATTGTTCCAGGACACCAGGGTTAAGACCCAGTTCTGGTTATCACATTCTGCTGTCTCATAAAATGCCATTGTTTCCATTAGAAAAGATTCTTCACCACCTATTTTAATGCTATTATGAAGGGCTGATATGTAGTATTAGAACAGTTCCTAAATTTCACCCTAGAAATGGTGACTGTGACCCATATGTACTATTCATGTATCAATTCAGGAAAGAGGATGATTGTATGGGTAAGGTACTGGTGAGCTGGATTTAGACCCTGGTTCTGCCACAAACTCCCTGTATGACCTTAATCTCAAATCATACTCCCTCTGTGCATCAATTTCCCCCCCCCTTTCCATAAAATAGGGATAATCCTTCCTTTCCCCCCACCCCTTGTCTTGTCCATTTAAATTGTAAGCTCCTTGGGGCAAGCCTTACCATTATGTTTATGCAGCATCTACTAAAAGGGGCCCAGAGCTCAAGGCGATACTGTTAGAGCAAAAGGTCAACTATTTGCCTATAAGCCCAGCTGTTATATCAGGAGCAACGACTGTTTCTGCAAAACACCCGCTGCAGCCTTCTGTGCAGCAAGATTATGTGATAACACAAGGCGGGCAGCTCCAGGGGGAAATGAGCCCATTTGGCTAACAATACTGCAATACAAATTAATAGTTACATTAGCAAAGCACACTAGGATCTGCCAGGAAGTGTAAAATCTGTTACGACTCTTAGATCATCTCCCTCTCCACTGAAATACAGCCACCACTGGAATAGAAAAGCAACTGCATATAATAGTTTGTGAGAGAATTTTTAGTAAACTGATTTGGCCAGGATATCAAAGTAACACCCTTACTCTTGCAGTAGTATCATTGGCTTCTTTTTAAATGGCCCTGGATAACCAGGAGCTTGTTTTTATGTCTCATCTGAATCTACATCTCTAACAGCACATTTCTCTTCACCACACCTCCTTTACCCTAATGCTAAGGCAGTGATTCCATAAGACTGACTGCTATCTGTTGAGCATCACCACCACTTCCTACAGCACTGGGATTCTCTGCCTGGGTATGGGCACAGGCTGTTTAATTATTCAACAGCCATCAAGCTCCTTGTATTGGTCTCCAATCCCATGGTTAAGAATCCTGCTATATTGACAAACTCCTGCCCATGTTTTGAAAGGAGCTGAACACAGCTGGCTTTGTTTAACATCAGTTTAAAGAGCAGCTCTCAGGCGGTCTACACTACACAAATTGAGTGTGCCCAGAATTGTATGGTCCCCTCATATGCTCATAACATATCTCATGTAAGAGTGCCCTCTAGTTTATAAGCACATCAAATACAGTTTCAGTTAAATATGCTTCCAGCAAAGTTAGATCCCAGTTTAAACGGTTTCAGCCTAAATCATGTTAGCACTAATGCTTCAGAAAGTTTTCCCAATAGTGTCCCACTGTGCATGGGGAAGGAAGCTTTATATCTCCCAGAATCCACTGTTTCTGAGAGCAGAGCCAGGCTCTGCAGGATTGGTACGCAGGGGACACACTAAAATGATTTGGAGCAGCCCCACTGTGGCTGTAGAGCAAAATGGCAACATGATTGCCAGGTCTAGCATGGATCCAGGTTGTGCATAAAGCAATTCCAGTTCAGTAAGGAATGGTAGTCCTATAACCAACCCCAGGGCTCGAGCAGCAGATCAATACAGTTCTGGGGCTGGTACCAATAGAGAGTGAGAATGAAGTACTGAGCTTTGGAAACCTTACCTTAAAATGTATCTGTTTGAACAGTAGTAGTAGATTTAATGAATTATCTACAATGAATGATTGAAGTTTATGATATCTGTGTACCTAGACACTCAGCTTCCCTGCTTTTTATCCAGCACTTAAAGACTGCAGATGTGCAGGCAAGGGATATGCTGGCCACGGCTTCCCGCCACCCCCATTGGCCTGGGACAGCAAACCACAGCCAGTGGGAGCCACGATCAGTTGAACCTGCCGACACGGCAGGTAAACAAACTGGCCCTGCCCGTCAGGGTGCTTACCCTGGCGAGCCATGTGCCAGAGGTTGCCGATCCCTGTCCTAAACATTGTTTCGCTAGAGTCTGGAAGACACCAGCATTTTGAGGGTTAAGTTTGATGGCCTGTTGCCTCTACTGCAGGGATGGGCAAACATTTTGGCCCCAGGACCACATCTGGGTGGAGAAATTGCATGCAGGGCTATGAATGTAGGGCTGGGGCAGGTGATTAGGGGACAGGAGGGAGTGTGGGAGGAGGTGCAGTGTGCAGCTCTGGGCAAGGGGTTGGGGTGCAGAGTGTAGGAAGAGGCTCAGGGACTCAGGGCATGGGGTTGGGGGGCAGGAGTAGTGCAGGCAGGGTGCAGGAGGAGTGTGGGCTCCGGCATAGTGCTGCTTACCTGGAGCAGCTCTGGGGTGGCCGTGGCACGCACCAGGGCCCATGCAGGCTCCCTCCCTGCCTGCCTGCCCGCCCTAGCCCCACACAGCTCCCTCCTGGGGGGAGGGGGCGCAGAGGGCTCTGCATAGTACCCTGGCCTGTAGGCACCTCCCCAAAAGCTCCCATTGGCTGCAGTTCCCAGGGGGCGTAGGGATGTAGTGCTGGCTGCTTCCGTGAGTGGTGCAGGGCCCACGGTGCCATGGGGGTGGCAGTCCCGCAGACCGCATCCAAAGCCCTGATGGGCCAGATCTGGCCCACGGGCCGTAG